GCGCCGCCTTCACCCCCGCGCAGGCTTGCGACAAAGCGCCGCAACCCCCAACCACGAATGTCCGACCACGACCTACGGGGCCACTGGATTGGTATTACCATATTCGGCCTTCTGTGGGTCGGTATCGGGCGCGCTGTGGGTCACGCGCGGCGCGGTGGAGACGACGCGAGAACAACGGGCCCCCACTGGGACCTTGTCAGGTACCTTTCCGCGAGTTCGCTCGAGAGGTACATGCCTGGATCAACGTGACCACAGGCAACGCGACTCCCCCCCCCCCAAGAAAAAACAGGCCGCGGCACTCAGCGCGGTCTGGGGGGCCTCGCGCGGACCATGGCCATGAGAGTGCCCCCCTCAGTCATAAATTTTGGCGTTAATATTGGTGGCCGCCACGCCGATGGCGTCACTTACATCGCGTTCCTCCTCAGTGTGAAGTTTGAGAACTTAGAGGAGGAACGCCAACTCTGCTCGGGAACGGCCCTCCTGATGTTAGCGTCCATGCCAATAACGGATCGACCAGACATTGGCGCGCTTCGAGATTGCCCGCTACGAGGTTGAGACCGCAGGCTTTAACTTTCAAGTCCTAACAGTCATCCTGTTCAGGGCTTCAGTGGTGGGGGCGTCGCGTGCACGACAACTCCTACAGCCACTTAACCACCGAATGCCGAGGAGCCAACAGCAATTTGATGCCATAGTGGAACGCATGAGGTCGTGTGACCACATCGCCGAGCGAACCCCTGGCAACGTTGGTGGCATCTTTAGTCGCGGCCACCGTGCCGAAACCTTCCATGCTAAGACTAACGCAGGGCAACCTGCCACAAACGTCTGGAATGATGATCCACAACCGACAGGGGCCACCACTTTATTAGCCCCCAATGGTGGCCCGCCCACGGGGTCGCAAGACTCCTGGGTCAAGGGCCGTCGGCCACGGCGGCCCCTGCACAAGCCACTGCTCTTGTAGGCTCAGCGGGGCGGCCCGCCGAGTCTGACTCTGACTCTGAAACCGACGCTGGCGCGTCATCAGACGGCGAAGCTGCCGCCCTAGACTATTCCGGCACGCCTGCGTAGAACAACAGGCGCAGTGGCTATTTGTACGACGCCAGAAACATATACGCCGTTGGAGACGCTTCAGGAAGAAACCAGTTCGTAAGGTACGACGCAGTATCCGACGGGCACTCAGAGTGACGGGTAAGGGTCGAGGCAGGGGTAAGGGCAAACGACGGCGACTGCGTGGTAGAGATGCGCTGGCATTCCTGGCTTTCCTTTCTGGACCACAATGCGAAGAATTATTCCTGGGGGGAGGTAGAGGCCGCGGGCATGCCTGAGGAAAGGGCAAGAGGCGTCGGGGCAACCCGAAAGATGCTAACGGCAAAACCATGGAATGTAACATCTGCCATGGCACGCAACATTTCCGTCGTGAATGCCCCCGGGGCGATGGGGGATGCAGGGGTCCGTCAGTGCATCTGGCTCAAACCGAGTCGGACATGCAGCATGTCGACTGGGGGAGGCTACTAGCCGACCCTGTAGACGCCCACACTGCCGCCGTCCACTGCGCGGCCGCCAGGCGTGTAAGTGCCGGCGTGTCCCTCGAGAGAGATGCCGACGAGCTCTTCGAGGAGACCTATGTTGGCCATGGCGAGATCAACCGGGCGGACTGGTTGGGCACTTGATGGGCGCGCCCATCACGGGGCAACCTGCGCAGATCGAGTTCGTCGAGGATTTCCACGCGCCCGCCGAGGTAGACCACGACGCGGCGGGGGCGCCCGCGGATTCTGAAGCCACTATCCCAGCGACAGAGGAGGAGATCTCATTGATGCTCCATCCGCAGGTCGTTGACAATCCGATAGACAGAGATTTATACGACGACGGCCCTCAGCGGGGAAGCCCGCGGAATGCCGGCAATCTTTCCGAACGCATCCAATGCGAATTTGGGCGCGACGAGGCTTCGCGTTCGCGGTGCGCGACAGGTCCACGAGCCTCCCAGCATGGAGACGAGTGATTCGCACAGATGACGACGAAGACGAACGGGAAGTTGAGAGTCATCGCCCGCGGCGTCGCGGTCGGAGTCGCTCACGCGGGCGCTCGCGCGCTCATTCTAGTGGCGCGCAGCGCCCGCGCCCTCCTGACGCAGGGGCCCCAAGGGCCCCGCCGAGAGGGGGGCGTTCGCGGGGAAACCCGCCTCAGATTGAGGATCGTCCAGCTGAGCCTGAAGTGCGAGGCGTGCAGCGCCTTGTCAGCTATGGAGATCAGGGCTGGCTCGCCAGTATACGCCTCCAAAAGGGCCGCAAGAGGGCCATCACTAATGACCGAGAAACCTACCGGCGCCTTGTCTGCCCCTGCGAACATGCTGCTGACCACAGAACGGCGTGTCCGACGGGGCGACCATGAGAAAACACCGTGGGCCTGGTCTCATGGAGACGGTCTGGGTCGCGGGGTGGATCCGACCCATGACTCACCTGCAGAATGCTTGACCAAAGATGATTACCAGCCGATCACGGCGGACGAGGCTAAACGGATCCAGCGACTGCGACAGCACTTTGACAGCAATCGCCGCCTCAAGGAAGACAGTCGAGAATGCCATAAAAAGGCGGCTGAGACACCGCATGCGGGGCAACCCGCTTCCCCCTCTCATGGCCTTCCAGAGGGTGATGAAGGAGCTGGTGATCCGGTTCTGACTGGAGCTGTGTCAGACAACGGGGTATTCACAAAACGTTTGCCCTGTGTTGTCTGGCTCAACTTTCATGTGCTTCCAGGGAAATTGACCCTACCATGTTTTCAGTCGGGGGATGAAACATGAATGAAAGGGGGGCACCGTGTATATTCCCGATGATGATGTTGATGCTGATATGACGACGATGACGATGATGATGATGATGATGATGATGATGATCCTGACGCTGGCGATGGTGACGATAGCCATGCTGCTGATGATGGTAATCGTGTCGATGATGATGATTGCGACGACGGAAATGATGATGACCAGGACCTCGTCGGCCACAAGGTCCGCCAGGCGACCTTGCCTGGCCATGACCGCATGTCGCGTGAATGCCGCGCGCCAAAGCCCGCGCGGCCCAAAACAGCTGCCAGCCTGAGCCCGCGGCCCACGCCAAAGCGATCCCGGCCAGCACGGGCGAGCGAGAAACTACCATCGTTCCTGCCCCATCGGCAAACACGAATCCCCGCGCCAACGCACCAGCGCAGAGACCGAAACGCGTCGTGAATCTTGCATGAAACCTTTTTGCAGGGAAGCGGTGCAGCGTTTCGCGCGGGATGCAGCGCAGACCCCCCGTGCCAGGAGTAGGCCCGCTCATCGGTTCGTTGGGAGCAAGGGGGGTGTTCCTTTCTCCGCGGCTGGCAATGCAGCTCCTCGCTGTGTGGGTGGTGGTCGGATGCAACACGACATTTATAAAAAGGGCGGTGGCGTAGCTGGCACTCTCTCGCAAATTCGCATCCTGAACCGAGAGAGCCGCTGCGGTGAGACCCACATGAGGCCATGCCCATGCGAACGCCCGTCTCGACGCCCTTGCTAACAACGCGCCCCCAAACCACGACGGCGCCGCACGCGAAGATGCTGAGGAGGTGAACGACGAAGCCGCCGAGCGCCCAGAAGTCCACATCCAGCATCACCGCCGTAACCGCGCCACCACCAAAGAAGAACATGAAATCCGTGACCACCTCCATGTGCTGACACGCGACTTTCCAGACCGGGAAGGGTAAGCCCGAGGAAGATCGCCGCCAACCAGCTCCTCGAAAAGGTGCGTGCCTAACGACCCCACCATGCTCACGCCCAACATGCAGCACAGGACGAGGTGGATGCTGTACCGCTGCAGCGCGATGCCCACCTCAGCGGCCGGGCCGAGGTGCACCAGCAGGGCTGAGCCGCACCACAGGCACCAGATGGACCACGCCCGGCACGTCGTCCACGAACTCGCCGAAGAAGGGCATGACGGCGGAGGCGCCCAGGCCCATGATGCGACCACCCGCACGCATGGCCGCACCCGTGAACACGACAGCCGTCATCGACTCGACCACGGTGAGGCGCCACGATGCGAGCGCGCGGCGGCAGGCCCAGACACTGCATCGGCCCAGCAGCATCCGAGCGCGGTCCTGCGCGCGCGGGCCCCCCACAGCCCACGGCCGTCCCAGCGCCCGCGGGGCCGGCGGCATGGCCAGGCGGGGAGAGGGCTGACCATCCGCCGCTGGCTGCGAGGTCGCCCACTGCGAGGCCTGCACGATGCCCTCCTTCGCCCAGACGTCCGCGACGGGCGGCGCCACCGGCAGCGTTCGCGGAGCCAGTGCGTGTCGATGAGCATGGCGGGTGCTCGCGCTATGCGCGAGGGCGGCGAAGCGCGGCAGCGGCAGGCACCATCGCACCCGGCATAATGGCGCGGCGGGGGGCAGGCGTCGCGGCGTGAGCAAGAAGGCCACATTCGAGCCCGCCATGACGATGATGGTGGTAGTGGTGGCGATGATCATGATGGTGATGGTGATGATGATGCTGCTGCTGCTGCTGATGCTGATGCTGATGCTGATGCTGATGCTGATGATGATGATGATGATGATGATGATGATGGTGGTGGTGGTGGTGGTCATGCTGATGGCGATGGCGATAAATGTATTGGTGGTACTCGTGATCTTGCTGATGCTGATGACGATGCTGATGATGATGCTTCTGATGATGCTTCTGATGATGATGCTGATGCTACTGATGATGCTGATGATGATGATGATGCTGATGCTGATGCTGATGCTGATGCTGATGCTGATGCTGATGCTGATGATGATGATGATGATGATGATGATGATGATGATGATGATGATGATGATGATGATGATGATGATGATGATGGTTAGGATGAGGAAGAAGGGACGTGACGACAATGAAAAGGGGAAGGGTGAAGGATGAGGCTGATGGCGAGGCGAAGGAGGGAGTGAAGAGGGGGAGGGAGGACGGAGGGGGGAGGGACGGAGGGAGGGCATCATCGACGGCTCCCCTGTGGCAGGAACGCCACCGCTTGGCTCAACAAGCTCATCGCCACCGCAATTGACGCCTCGGTGCCGAGGAGCGTCGCGGTTGTCGCTGCTGGCCGAGAGGCAGCCGGGAGGGAGGAAGGGCAGAAAGGGAGGAAGGAAGAGGATGGTGGACGAGGGAGGAGGGAGGAAGAGGAGGATGAGGAGGAGCATCAGCATAAAGTGCAGCAGAGGCAGAGGCAGAGGCAACAGGTGCAGGCCCCCTCTCTGTGCCTTCCAGAGGCCGCGGCGCAGGCGCTGGCGCTGGCGCGCGAGAGGCAAGGCGTGGGGCAGGCGCCGCAGGAAGAGGGAGGGGGAACGGGAGGAGGCGGAGGAGGAGGAGGAGGAGAAGGAGGACCAGTGTAACCCCAAAAGCCATCAACGATGTTGGAATACACCCTCCTCTCAAGCTCCCTCTTCATAGGCCCATACAGTGTTTCATTTCCATTGAGGGATTTGCCTCGTTGGAAGACAACCGTTTGAAGACCCGGAAGCATGTCAAAACATTGTTCTCGGGATTCCAACGCCACGGATCAATTTGATTGTTGCGTCTTGGCGTTCTTGGATCGCGCCAGAACGCCATCCTTAGGATTTCAACTCCGCGAATCAACGTAACCGCAAAATCCTGAATGCTTCCAAAGCACACTTTCTGGTACGTTGATCGTGGGAATCCGTGAAACTCTCACAGATTTTATGAACGAATTTGTGCGGAGCTAAGGCGAGAGCCACATTTTGAAAAGAAACCGCCCTCAATCCGTGAAACCGTTGCAAATTGTGAAAACGAACGTGCGCGGCGCTAAGGCGAGAGCCACATGTTGAAAACGAGTTATCCTCAATCCGTGAAGCTCTGTCAAATTGTGAAAACGAACGTGCGCGGCGCTAAGGCAAGAGCCACATTTTGAAAACGGTTTTTTTTCAATCCGTCAAGCGCTTGGAATTTTTTTGAAACGAATGTGCGCGGTGCTAAGTCGAGAGCCACATTTCGAAAACCACCCGCCCTCCATCTGTGAAACTGTTGCCAATTTTGAAGCTTCAGAGTCATACATGGTCAGGAAGTCTCAGGCAAAACGCCCGGCCCGCCCTAAAAACTTGCCTCGGTGTGCGACAGCGAGAAGTTCTTGAATACGGAATCGGAATGGAGGAGGAGGAGGAGGAGGAGGAGGAGGAGGAAGATGAGGCATGAAGGCATGAAGGCACGACACCCGGACACAGGGCGGGCCCGCGCTCTGAGGGGCCGGACCTGACCCGGGGCCCGAGGGCCCACCAGCGGCGGCGCACGGCTCGACCCCCTGAGCCCGTCCATCTGGACGCCCGAAATTGGTACCGAAAGAATGGGTACAATGCCCAACAGCAGTTCCTGTTCATCTTGAACAGGCCTCGCTGTCCACGCCGCCGCGGCCTATGTCCATTCGAGACAGGAGGCCGCCTGCCCAACAGCGGCCGCTGTTGGTTTGGGACAACATTTGTTGTTGGGCATCGTACCCATTTTTTCGGTACCCATGTCGGGCGTCCAAAGTCCAGGCCACGGGGAAGAGCCTCCAACTTTCCAAGCCGAGTCCAACCGTGGCGACGCTGAAGCGCCCGGCCGAACACCAACAAGAACGATTGGCTGACTGTATCGTCGGCGGCCCGCTCAGAACGGCAAGCTGGCCCCTTGGAGAGGAGGATCGTGCCGTCGGCGCAGGCGTCGGGCTAGAGTATCTCCTTGAGAATACTCGCCATGTTGCGGGCGTTGAACTGCCGGACACCGTCGTAGCAGTCCACGACTCTCTGGAGTGCAGCCCGCACACTATTTCCCAACCATCCTGTGGTGTTGGGTCCTCGTTTTGAAGAGACGGTGCCCCGCGTCTCCTTCCTCCTCTCCTCCTCCGCCTCCTCTCCCCTCCTATCGTCCTCATCGTCATCATCATCATCGTCATCATCATCATCATCATCATCATCATCATCATCATCATCATCACCTGGAGGACGGAGCTCGAGGAGGCCTCCTGGCAGGGAAACACACTCACCCGCCACGTCCGAGACCTCTGGAGCCCGCCGTTCTGGCGCGACCAGCGCGCTGTAGTTCAATTCCTGCACGAGCGCGTGCACTCAATCGCGCTCCCGAAGGTCCCCTCCGCCCCCCAACGTGTTGCCGCTGCCGAGGCTGAGCAAGCAGCCGCAATTGCTGAGACGCTGCAAAAGCGTCCGAAGTTGCAGGGGGTGTACGCTCGTTCCCTCACCCGTGAATTGTACCCCGATCGCCTGCACCTGACGCTGCAGAAGCGCGTGCAGGCCTGGTATCCTGATTCATCTTTCCCCCCCCTGGCCCCTCGCTGGCCTGCTTTAAAAGCCATCCTGGCCAAAAGCCGCCCTGCCCTTTTCTGGTCCGTCCTCAAAACCTTGGCGGGCGGGTGGATCACGACCCACCGCATGCATATCCTGGGCCAGCGAGGATGTGTTCTAGGGTGCGAGGGGATGCCTGATTCGATTTCGCACTACCTCTCCTGTCCT